CCGTTCACCTACTTTGTAGGGAAAAGGTGGCAGAGAGAAGTGAGGAACAGTATAATGTTAGAAAGAACTCTGTTTAATAAATGCCTTGATGACTTCAGCAAGAGAGACCACTGGTAAATTTCGGGCACCTTCTGTTTCTCCCCGTGGGGAATTTCTTTGTGGCAGTTCACCCTAGTTCAACAAACATTTACTGTGTCCGGTGCTATGCTAGCCACTAGGTATTCAGACACAAATAACAGACAGTCCTTGCCCTGGGACATGTTACAGCCTTGGTGGGAGAGATGGACCCTTGAACAGACACTTTCATTATAATGTGGGAACACTTGAAAAATGGTGGATGGGGCAGAATTTAAACATATTTAGGCCACGGGACGTCCCTGATGGTCCGGTGGTTAGGACTTCTCGCTTCCACTCGGGGTGCAGGCTCGATCCCTGGTTGGGGAACCAAGAACTAAGATTCCTCATGCTGCACGGCACAGCCAAAATATGTGTGTGTGTGTATATGTATATATGTATATATATATATATTTATATATGTATGTGTATATTCAGGCCATAAAATTGGTAGACGTTGTGATTCACTGAATGTTAGGGGTCAAGAAGTCATAGGATGGATCCTAGGTTTCTAGTGTGGGTGACTGGATGAGGATGGAGTAACGTTAACTCAGTTCAGAAATACAGCATTAAGAACATATTTGTGAGAGGTCAGGGGAAATCCGTTTCGTTCTCAGTATGCTTAACATGCCCCTTAAGATGTCCAAGTAGAGCAGAATAGAGCGGCGGGAATCAGACCTATGATGTAGGGTTAAGACTGGGCTGTTCCACTCACCAGCTGACGGTAGCACATTTCCCTAACCTACCTCTCAGTTTCCATGGGGATAATAATAGTACTTACCGCACAGGAGTTGTGAACATTAAAAAAAGTCACGTATGTTCATTTAAACACTATTGTAGTACTGAGCATATGATAAGACCTCAGTACTACGTCAGGAACTCTTATTGTTGTGTGTGTAGCAGACAGTGTGAACTCAGGAGAGATCAGAGCTGGACATTCGGTTTGGGGAGTCATTAACATACAGACTACAACAGTGACAGTGGTTGAGATTGCCTACAGAGAATGGGGCCCTGAAGAGTAGTAGTAGCAAGTAAGGGGTGGGCAAGAGAGGGTCAAGATCCAGATGAAGAGGGTGTGATTGTCTTGCATGTAGAGAATCGTGTGTACACGGTTTTGTGCCTTGTAGAGAAATTATTATTTAAAGCTTGTGATTGGAGGACAACAAGAAATATTTATGATCTTTTTTTTTTTTTTTTTTTTTTTTTTGCGATAGGCGGGCCTCTCACTGTCGTGGCCTTTCCCGTTGCTGGACGCGCAAGCTCAGCGGCCATGGCTCACGGGCCCAGCCGCTCCGCGGCATGTGGGATCTTCCCGGACCGGGGCACGAACCCGTGTCCCCTGCATCGGCAGGCGGACTCTCAACCACTGCGCCACCAGGGAAGCCCGATGATCTTTTTAAAATCCACAGATTTAAACCCTTCATGTGGACTTTTTTGTAAAAAACAAACTTACTGTTTAATTCAATGGTAATAAAATCAGCCCGCCACCCCCTGCCGGCCCGCATTTGTAAACTACTTGTCAGTACACTTGTTTCTCTTCTCTGGGGATATCTGAAGTGCTACAGTGTGATGTTGGCACAGATTGTTTGCTTGAGTAGAGTTGATACCTTAATCAACTAATAAATCTAATAATCAATCTAATAAAGTTTGATTTTTATTTAAGGAAGAACTGGTCCTGAGCAATGAAATAGATGTTGATTTCCAGTCTTCATTCAGGTTTATAAGAAGCACGTTTTCCTGTTGTCTTAAAGGACAGTGTGTGACGATCTGACAGTTTTTGTCTCTCAAATCAGCTATCGGACTGGAGCTAGAATACATTAAGTTAGATCATGTCTCTAAGTTTCCAGAGGAACGTGTTAAAACTCAATTCATTGCCATACCCATGCAGATAAAGTTTTGTATTAAAACCAGGTATTTTAATTTTACATTTAAATTTTAACTTATTTGAATGGGTACTGTTATAAGTAAAAAAAAAAACAAACGATGGCATTGAATATCTTGGAGGAGGAGCTGATTAGCCTTTTATTTTTCTTTCTTTTAAATTTATTTATTATTTATTTTTAGCTGCATTGGGCCTTCATTGCTGTGTGCAGGCTTTCTCTAGTTGTGGCGAGCAGGGGCTACTCTGCATTGCGGTGCGTGGGCTTCTCATTGCGGTGGCTTCTCTTGTTGCAGAGCATGGACTCTAGGCGCGCAGGCTTCAGTAGTTGTGGCACGCAGGCTCAGTAGTTGTGGCTCGCGGGCTCTAGAGCGCAAGATCAGTAGTTGTGGTGCACGGGCTCAGTTGCTCCGCGGCATGTGGGATCTTCCTGGACCAGGGATCGAACCCATGTCCCCTGCCTTGGCAAGTGGATTCTTTAACCACTGTGCTACCAGGGCAGTCCCTGATTAGCCTTTTAAATGGTAGTTATTGATTATTTTGGAAATCATAATTTCATAATGGGGGCATTTTTTTCTTCAGTTTTAGTAAGAGAAAAGAAAATATATATGAGGTAAAGGCATAGAATTAATGAGATAATGGTTAGCTATGTGCTTTTGAAAACACACAATTTAAAGAACTGTCTACAACCTGCTGCTATAGCTGTGGTTTAATGTTTTTAAGTTGGTAATGGTTATTTTACTCCCCCCCCATAAGAATGAATAGTAATAAATACTGTCTTTTCAAAACAGTGGTCTCCTGCACATTCTTGGGCAACTCTAACCCCTCTCTCCAGTGGCACCCGTGTGTGTGTGTGTGTGTGTGTGTGTGTGTGTGTGTGCGCGCGCGCGTGTGTGTCTGTGTCTGTACTATCAATAAAGATGTACTGTGTACTTCACTGCCTCAGCTAGAGGGCGAGGGAGCAACATGCAACATAATCTATGCAAGGGAGTCCAGAGCCAGGAAGAAATACAAAGCTGACATTAGTCATTAATTAATTAACTGAGAAGCTTTCCTGTTAAGAGACAGGACATCAGTGGGCCCTGAAGAATGCCTCTCACTTAGCTGAGCAGGAGAGACTGTTGGCAGGGAGGACGGGGTGAGTAAAAGCACAGAGCTGGACACAGAACAGTATCCTGGGTGCAGAGGTGAGCAGAGTAAGTTGTAGGTTGCAACCTATTAACTGTTTCCTGATTGATATTTTTCTGGTATTTTAGTTTCCTAACTCTAGATAACCTTATTTATTTCTTGACTTGCCAGCTTTAAATAAAAGATATTGATTCTTGGATACAAAAAAACGTTTATGCTTATTTTTACCATATCCTTGCTGTTCCCTTCCATATTTCTTTTTTTAATAAATTCATTTACTTATTTATTTTATTTTTGGCTGTGTTGGGTCTTCGTTGCTGCACACAGGCTTTCTCTAGTTGTGGCGAGTGGGGGCTACTCTTCGTTGTGGTGCTCGGGCTTCTCATTACGGTGGCTTCTCTTGTTGCGGAGCACGGGCTGTAGGCGTGCGGGCTCAGTAGTTGTGGCCTGAGGGCTCTAGAGCACAGGCTCAGTAGTTGTAGCGCACGAGCTTAGTTGCTCCGCGGCATGTGGGATCTTCCCAGACCAGAGCTCGAACCCGTGTTGCCTGCATTGGCAGGCGGATTCTTGACCACTGCGCCACCAGGGAAGCCCATTCCCTTCCATATTTATGTTACCTTTTTTACAGAGTTCTTCTCTATTGGTTATATTTGTCACTGTAAATATTAATAATACTTATATTGTTGGTGGTTTATATGTTCCCCAAGATATGTGCAATTTAACTTTCAATCTTAAATAAACTTATGTTTTTGAACAGAAGGAGAAAACATTTTGAAAATGTACATTTAAATGCTGGGATAACAGGAAAAGAATTTATACGACTTTTGAAATGAGAAATAACACCTTTCTCTTTTTCAGGTTGAGCAAGTGAAATTGCTCGACCGATTCAGTACGAGCAACAAGTCGTTAACAGGAACGCTGTATCTCACGGCCACACATCTGCTGTTTATAGACTCTCATCAGAAAGAAACCTGGGTGAGGAAGACCTCTGCTGTGCTGTTTACTGTAATTATATTATTGGACATGGTCTAGCTCATGTTTTATTTTGAATATGCACAAAAAATTGTAATCGTTGGCTATCTGTCTCAACCAAAAAATTTTCAAAGTCACGTTCACACCTTCCCTCCTATTTTAATAAGACAGTGATGTCATGTGGAGTGGCATTCTTTCTCGGTCATGAATTTTAAGCAAAGGCCAGAAATAACACTAGAAGTTCCTGGGTGAAGAGGTAGGAGCACCGCAGTGCTGTGTAAAGGAGCTTGGTGCATTGGAAGAGCCAAAGGAAGGCTGTTGTCACCAGAACTTAGGGATGTGGCAAGGGACCTGAAATGAGGCTAGGGAGGCCGGAAATAACATGACTAGGTGGCTTTTTTATTGTTTATTTATTTACTTTTATTTTTTATTTTATTTTTTTAACATCTTTGTTGGAGTATAATCGCTTTACAATGGTGTGTTAGTTTCTGCTGTATAACAAAGTGCATCAGCTATATGTATACATATATCCCCATATCTCCTCCCTCTTGCGTCTCCCTCCCACCCTCCCTATCCCACCCCTAGGTGGCTTTTTTTTTTATTTTATTTTTATAAATAAAATTATAAAAAAGCATTTTAAAAAGAGCCATCTAGTCATGTTATTTCCCACTTCCCTAGCCTCAAGTATTATTGATTTACAATGTTGTATTAATTTCTGCTGTACAGCAAACTGACTCAGTTACACACATATATATTCTTTTTCATATTCTTTCCCATTATGGTTTATCACAGGATATTGAATATAGTTCCCTGTGCCATGCAGTAGGACCTTGTTGTTTATCCATCCTGTATATAATAGTTTGCATCTGCTCACCCCAAACTCCCACTCCTTCCCTCCTCTTCCCTCTCCCCCTTGGCAACCACAGGTCTGTTCTCTATGTCTGAGTCTGTTTCTGTTTTGTAGATATGTTGATTTGTATCATATTTTAGATTCTACATATAAGTGATATGTGATATATTTGTCTTTCTCTTTGTGACTTACTTTGCTTAGTATGATAATCTCTAGGTCCGTCCATGTTGCTGCAAATGACATTACTTCATTCTTTTTATGGCTGAGTAATATTCCATTGTATACATGTACCACATCTTCTTTGTCTATTCATCTGTCAGTGGGCATTTAGGTTGCTTCCATGACCTGGCTATTGTAAATAGTGCTGCAGTGAACATTGGGGTGCGTGTTACCTTTTTGAATTAGTGGTTTCATCTTTTCTGGGTATATGCCTAGGAGTGGGATTGCTGGATCATATGATAACTATTGTTTTTTAATGGTCACTCCTCTGCCTTGTAGAAAATGGCTTAGAGAGGGACAAGAGTAGGTATGGAGAGAGCATTCAGGAGGCTCTTTACAGTAATTCAGGTGGGAAACAGTGGGGACATTGCAACTAGGGCCGTGACAGTGGAGATGGAGAGAAGGAGATGGTGCAGAGGTGTTTAGGAGGTGCCGTTCTCGGGGTCTCGTGGTGTGTGGAACACGTGCAGCGATGGGGAGGTATCAGGGGGAGTTTCCGGCTTGGGCGTTTGGTCATTTAAAAGTGCAAGTTTGAGTGTGTAGTGTATAACCTTTGCGACTGTATTTGAAGAGGGCGTTTCTAATATTTATGCACTCTGGGAAGCGAGTAAGATACTTAGTGCTTGTTTATAATGATGGTCAAACGTTTTCTCACGCTGCAGATACTGCACCACCATATTGCCTTGGTGGAGAAACTAGCTCTCACGACTTCTGGATGCCCTCTTGTGATCCAGTGCAAGAACTTCCGGACTGTGCATTTCATTGTTCCCAGAGAAAGAGACTGCCACGACATTTACAACTCTTTGCTACAGCTGTCAAAACAAGGTACTGTTCTTCGGGACCAAAGCTTACTTGCTCAAATGAGATGGATTATCTAAGATACTTTTAAAATATCTCATTATTGTTATTTTGTACTTTAAGTACTCTTAAGTCAAGGTCTTGTGCACTCTGTTCCAAAAAGTTTGGCCTAGAAATAATGAGAAACTTCTGATCTGAATTGTAAGAAGAAGGGGTAACAATAAGGAAAGAAGGGATAATAAGGAAAGAGCGAAACGTTTATAGTAGTACAGACTTGAAAAAACATAGATTTACGTGGATGTCTTTAAAGTTGATAAAACCAGTAGCACAGCCTTTGTTTTTTAAAAATGGTATCCCACAACTGAGAGCAATGACTGGAAATTGATTCCTGAATGAGAAGTTAAGGACGGGCAGGCTCCTCTGGTAGCAGTGGGACTAGTACATTTAATCTGAGGGAGTGGAACCTGAGGGGGTGAGCAGAGGGAAGAGAGGGTGACCCCTGCTTTAGCAGAGGTGGCAGTGAGGGCGACATGGCCCTAGAGAGGAATCGCATCACTGCTTATGCCCCTGAGATCTTACGCCCCTACGCCGACGTGCTGGACTCCACAGCTCTCTCTGGAGGCAAAGCACACTGGTTTCTGAATGTTCCTTTGTGCTGAACACCTGGGTCACAGTGGTCTGGGAGCAGGTCCACGCTCACTCTGCTCTCCTAACCGCGGAAGCCTGTGCTGTTGGTCCCACTGTCCCCAGGGCAGCCCTTACAGCGGGGATGGTTCTGTGACTTTGGAGCTTGGCCTTGTTCAGAAGCGGGTGCTCTCTGGAGCTCTGAGCAGCCCTTGACGATTTTGGTCCACACTGTCCTTTTGGGGTGTATATGCAGTCTCAGGTTCTGTATGCCACCTCTAGCTTTCCATTAAAGTGGTGGGCTTCCATTTTACGTCTCATTTGGGAAAAGTGGTGGGTGGGAAGGGTCTACTTGTATCTTTAAAATTTTGCTTTTAAGAAAAGGAAATATTGCAGTAGAGTATTTAATGTATGAGTCTGTACTGTTTACTAGCTTTTGCTGATGGTGTAAATTGAATCTCAGATCAGTATGTGTGCCTTTCGGTATAATCATCTGCATCAAATAACTGAGAAAATATTAAATTCAAGTATGTTCAGGTATTAGCTATCTATTTGAAGATTTTTCTTAAATGGAGGGATAAAACTGAAAAATTTCTTTCATTTGTAGTGTATTAAGTCCTATAAATTGCATTTTGACATTCATGTGTTTTGTATACCTTAGCAAAATATGAAGATCTCTATGCATTCTCTTATAATCCCAAACAAAATGATTCAGAAAGGCTGCGAGGTTGGCAGCTCGTTGACCTCGCTGAAGAGTATAAGAGGATGGGCGTGCCGAATTCCAACTGGCAGCTGTCCGACGCCAACCGCGACTACAAGGTAAGGGGGCTCAGAAAACGTTGTCACCTGTTGGAGGGGCTCAGAAAACATACTGGAGGGGAGGGTCAGAGACCGTCATAGCAGTGACTTGTCTATGTACTGCCAAGTACTGTTCTTGCATTTAATAAGTTTTAGTGGTTTTTAAAGGTGATTGTTAACCTCTTGGTTTTTGAACTATGAGTAGAATGGTTATATTTTATTTGATTTTTTACAGATTTGTGAAACTTACCCCAGAGAACTTTATGTTCCCCGAATAGCAAGCAAACCAATCATTGTTGGTAGTTCCAAGTTCCGGAGCAAGGGGAGGTTCCCAGTTCTTTCCTACTATCATCAAAATAAGGAGGTAGGAAGCTGTCTTTTGATTTTACAAATGGAGTGTAACCCCTCTTCAGATTGTGTCCAAAAGAACATCCATTTTTACATTTAGAGGTCATTGTTACAATGTTGCCGATAGAGAAATGCTGGCTTTTCCCTTGATTACATTTTTGAAATTTTAAAACAAAATTCTCTGAAACGCAGAAACTTTCATACTTGTCATCCTCCTCCGCTCCCTCGTCCTTTCCTTCCTTCTAGTAGTGGGTTGAAAATAACAGGAGTTGTGAACAGATAGATTCTTCTTCCTTTTCCATGGTTCTCTTTTGATCCTGCTTGTTTTGGGGGAAACCAGATAGTTCTGAAAAGCCAACTATTGAGAAAAGGGAAAG